TATTTATTTATTTATTTATTTATTTATTTATTTATTTAGTAAACTTGTCCCCGCCCATCTCTCCACAATGGGGGACTCTGGGTGGCTTACATCAAATTAAAATCATAAATACATGATTAAAAGTTATTAAAAAAACTACCACACTTACAGAGATAAAAAAGATTAAAAGATCCAAGAGGCCAATAGAGGCCACACCAGGCCACTAAGAGGTTAGCCAACCCCATTTCTGACATCCTCCCTCCTCGCCCCAGGCCAGATAGCAGAGCCAATGTACTGTGGACACGCTGAACCTTTAATGAACAAACAGGAAGGTATATAAAAAAGATACATTTACCATTGTGTCCAATCCAAGTGTAAGAAGCATCAAGAAGAAGATTATAGCCCAAAATGGTGAAAGTGGAAGCCTAGTTAAGGCTTCAGGATATACCACAAACGCAATGCCAGGGCCTAGAATCCAAAACAAAACAGACAGAAATCATATTGATAGCTTAAATAAGCATCATCCTTTGCATTTATGGGTCAAACAGAAGAAAAAATCCATTTCAATTTAAGATGACAAAATTTAGAAGTCAGTTACCTACGTTCCAGTTGAGTAGTGTATTATAGAGTCACAGAATCTACTACTACAATCATGCATTTTGAGCCCAAGGAATCTCCAGAAAATCTAGCTTTTCACAGAAAAGGGAGGGCAAAGACCATTATTAGAAAAGCAGGGATTTTGCTATGCCTATTAAATACAAATATGCCCTGCTTGTGCAACAGAATGGGATAGAGTGAAATATTTTTGGTATGTGTTTGTGACCCTTCAGAGTAAACCATATTTTATTTTATCTTATTGATATCAAACTGCAGCATAGAAGCACAACTCTCTTTAATATATTTGTCTTCTTAACTGCCCTCACATGTTTCATTTACTGTGTCTGAACTTTTCCCCTATGATTTTGATGTACTATACCAGAAATAGGGACATTGGTGCCATCCCAAAATTTTTTTACCACAAATCCTGAACAATGGTTGGTTTGGCAAAGCTACTGTAATGGGTGTTTAAAGTCAAAACATCTGGTAGGCATTATATTTCCTTTCCTGAGCTACTCTGTAATATACCAGTGCCAGTTTATTTTAGCAATGCCAGATTTAATTTCACAACCATTATATACTTCCCAAAATGATGGGAAACTCTCGTCAAACTTAAAATACTGCTTGAAGACTTTTTTATTATTACTGGTATGATGCAATGCAAGAGGCTGTCTTTAAAGCCTGCTATTAACGGGGAGTTTTTTCTTGGCATGAAGGCTTAGGGGATGTTATATATTCATGAACATACTCTTTCATCTCCTGATTAAAGATTTTTTCTTGACTACTACAGATAAAAATGCTGCTTGCAGTAGCTTCTTGAGTTTGGAAATTAAATTAAGGAATCAAAATAATGAGTTTCTAGAGTTCATCGTACTGTGGGAAAACCTAATTGCAGGAAATGAAACTGCAAATCTCCCTTGATTGGGATCCTTTAAATTAATTTCATGGGGAGATGAAGGTTATGACCACTGAGAGTTAGACATAGATAAGGGCAGTTGTTGGGCTTCAACACCCATCTGGAAAAAGACAAACCTTGCCCTTTTATAAAATTAACTCATGATTTAAGCAACAGTTCAAATAGCACCTTACAGTATTGGAATAACTGGAAGTTTCCCTTTGGGACTGCCATCTTATACAAATATCCACCAAATTTGGTTATTTGGCACCTCAAATTTGCCATTTTAAAATACACATTTTTTAGGCTACTAAAACCCATCGGCAGCCATTTTTCCTGTCGCCATACTACAGAGAAACACTGGGCCTTGAGAAAAGGTTGCTTCATGTCTGCTTTCATTCTCTCAGCTTCCAAGCTTCTGTATCACTGGAATTCAAACAGGTTTAGTTCTGTCCTAGAGTTCTTATCCTTGGGCAAATTGTATTGTGCTTGTTTTGAATCAAAAGCCCGCCTCATCAGGTTGTTTGGAAGTTTTAAACTTTAATATATAACGTTTTCATCAATACAGCTGTGAAGTTCTTTGGATTCTGATGCATGATTTTTGGAATAGGAGCCAATGGTTTACAGGGTTGCAAACAGGTGCTACATTTGAACTCTCAAGTGTTCTGAAGCACCTTTAGGAGACTGAATCTAAAGCTTTGTATAGCTATCACCACAATCATCAAAACTCTCTTGGGGTTTTATCTCCTACCTGACATCCCAGAGGTTTTGAAGCAGCTTACAAACATTTCTAATACAACAACCTAGACAAGAGTCATTGGGAGGAGCTAAGATATAGGTGTTGCACTGCGCTCCTGTGTATGTCAGTTTAAAAGAAAGAACCATTGAGTTTGATGGGGCCTTACTCCCTGAAAAGCATAAACAAAATGTTTTATGGTTTATTTAGCATTTAATAATACTGTTTAGTAACTGATCAGATGAAATGGATTTGTTTAGATAAGTCAGTTTAGGAAGAGGCATCCACATTTCTTCACATAAAATACAACTCTTAGAAACCACAGCATCTGGATGGAAAGCTTGTCTAAAATGAATAATACACATTTGTATTACATAAAGAAACATGGTACCCCTTTCAAGAAATGAGTTGCAAATCGGGGGGAGGGCGGAGCTGGCGTCACGGCGATACGGCGGGCGGTCC